TCTTTAGGGAGCAAGGCCACAAGAGGAAGAGGCTGCAAACAGAGACAATTCCATTGGCTGCACTTAAAGAGGTGACCTAACACCCCGACTTTTAGCACTTATTAAATTAAATGATTTGTACAATTCTGTAAAGCAAAACCCAAGGCCAAGCCAGTCCCGCAACCAAACAATAGCACTTGTACGACGGATCCTTTGTCCCTGTAACCGTTGCTAAGGACCTGTGTTCATTTTGTTTTCCATTCCCGGTTGTTGGATGAAGTTTGGTCCATTGTTTACTGGGTGTTGTCGTTGCTGCTTCTTTCTGCAGTCCAGGAGTTCAATGAAAATAAAAAGGAGCCGTCAATTCGTTTCCCCACCTGCTAACGGGCCTTTTGGAGGCCCAGAACATTTCCAGCCTCTGAGTTTTCCTTTAATAGGGTTTTTTGCCTTTTGGTTTGATAAGCCAGATGACTTTTGGTTTAGTCAGGGCCTGCCACACGTTCAAATTAAACCAGCAGCTATAAAGTGGTTACACATTTTCAGGTACTACTGTTGTAGCCGGTGGGTTCTTCTTCTAGCTGGACGGCCATTTTTATGGCATGATAATTACTTTGCAAGTTGGTCAGTCTACATTCATTGATTTACCAGTCAATTGCGTAATATATGTAACGCGTGGCAGGAAGAACACTGAAATGAGCTGGGGAAAGGGTTAAATGAGCCATTTGAAGAGCATTCATTACAACAGATGAGTTTCCTCCCATTGAGCTAGAGCAAAAAGGAGCTACTGCATACCACATGCATCTTCTTTTGCCCCAAGCCAGGTGCTGAAAATTGGGGGTGTGCATTACATGCAAAGATGTCAAATGGGCCATGCTGTGTGTGTGAAAAGTCTGCAAAAGAGAAGACCGAGGGGGGATTTGATAGCAGCCTTAAACTCCCTGCAGGGTGGATCCAAAGAGGATGGAGCTGGACTGTTCTCAGTGGGAGCAGACAACAGGACAAGGAGCAATGGGCTGAAGTTGCAGCAAGGGAAGTTGAGGTTGGATATTAGGAAAAAAAATCTCTCAGCAGGAGGGTGGTGAAGCACTGGAACAGGCTCCCCAGAGAGGTGGTGGGATCTCCATCCTTGGAAGTGTTTAAGACCCTGGTCAACAAAGCCTTGGCTGGGATGATGTAGTTGGGGCTGGTCCTGCTTGGAGCAGGGGGTTGGACTAGATGTGACCTCCTGAGGTCCCTTCCCACTCATTTTCTATGATACTATGAAAAGCAGCATCTACCGCATGAATGGAAGGTAAAGTCCACATTCACTCAGGTCCCTGAGCTGCTGCTACTCAGTCACTGCAAAGAAAAAAAATCTTTTTTTCTTCCTTATGCCTGTCAAAGCCAGGGTACAGCTCTCATTCCAGGGCATGTTGTCCGTGCAAACATACGGTACCAGTGGTGGAAGACCAGGTCCCACCTTCCCACTGTTTTCATTAGAGACAGATTCACAACAGGATTGCAGCTAAAGAACAAGCACCTGGCAAGTCCCCTGGATCAAGGCTTTCCCCAAGAAGAAGGGCCACAAGATGCCCCAAGGAAGGCCGTACACTGGTGACACTTCACCAGCGCTTGCTACATAGGGAGACGAGACCGGCAGGGCCCACAAACCTGGGGCATTTATTCACAGAGCAGCCAGGGTGTGGGGGTTTTTACAAACAAGACCCTATCTCGAAGAGCTCACAGCACTGTTGGGATAGGTTGGCAATGTATAAAGAGAGGGGTAGAGGCCAGAGAAACCCTCAGAGAAGACATGCTAGGGGCATCCATGACTGATGCCCAGCGTTGAATCACTGCCAATGCAGGGCCCCGGGGGACACTGCCTCTTCCCAGAGAGGCTGTAAATCAAGGCACTGCTGCCTCTTGCTGGAGACAACCCAGTCAGTGCCTCTTCCTCCCTGGATGCAAGGAGGTTCTGGCTGGGCGGTTGCAAAGCTTTAGAGGAGGAAGGGGACGGCTCCCAGCCCAGCAGCCTACCGCAGAATGTGGAACAGTCGTATCCAGAAGAGTCTGGGGTCCCTGCAAGCCAATCCCAGGACAATAGGAGCGGGAGGGGGCAGTACCAGACCCCTGGCAACCAATCCCAGCAAACCGGGGGCAGTGCCAGGTCCCAGCCCCACCCCATTCACCTGGCGCACAAGGCCAAAAGGTTGAGCCTCACCAGCCAAGGCAATGATATGCCTTGGCTCACATAGCCTGTGAGAGGTTACGCTATGGGGTGGGAGACGGGGAAGAAGATGCTGGAGCAGCAGCCGGGCAGCCCAGGATCAGAGCAGGGTACAGGACAGGTCAGGCCTCCCGAGGCAACATGCAGAAGACTAGAGTAATGGATGAGTTGGGCTGGGGAGAAGAGAGATAGCTACAAGACAGCAGCATCTTGACTCAGTGCAAATTTCCAACCCATTTCTTCCAGCTTCCTTTGGCTGCATTGACAAGCTGAATGGGCATGTCCCCCACCCCTCCCCTAGTCACGTGGCCAGCAGGAAACCATTCCCTGCTAAACACCACACAAAAAACCCACCGGTTTCTTGTCTGGGAATAAATACTTTGCAGATCTGGAGACTCTCCACCAGGAGGCACTCAAAACTTTCAGACTATATGCACGCTACAGATGGGTAAACTGAGGAAGGTGGTAACAAACATTACTGCCTGGCTCAGGTCCTGGTTGGGAGAACCCAGCTCCCAGGCTGTGCCTGACTGGTCAGACTTGCTCATCAGATACGCACGGGGCAGATAATGGCGACTGGCACAGAGCCCACAGCTGGGCCTTTTCACAAGACAACTGCAGAGAGCCCATGGTGCAATCCAGGAGCCCTTATGGATGTCAGCGGGAAAGTAGCCTGTATGACAGAATCAGGCCAGGCGCCAGGAGGAAGGCATGCGTTTCATTCAGACACAGAAAGAGAGCACTTTTGTTCGGGCGTTTTTAATACAAACCTTAACTGATCTGGATGCAAAACAGGCGCAAGTGGCAGAGGCTGCAGCCTGGACGCATGATGACAATTCAATAGCGTAAGCCACACCAGAGTAGCGACGGGAACGATCGCAGCTTGGCGTTTCTAGGGTGCATCGCCCGATTCTGGCTGGAGGAGAGCCCGGACATGCAGGGGAGAAGGGAAAACTGGATCCCAGCCGGATGGCAACAGGCGCTTCCAGTCAGGAAACCAGGCCCCCACCGCTGCTCCCCTCATCTGCATTTCCCGCTAAGGGCCTAATTTCTTCTTGCCAATTCCCAAGGCCAACGTGAAGAACATTAAAACAAACACAAAGCAGCCAGCAGTCTTACACACTATGAGGCTGCCCTTTCTTCCTGCCCTCTGACACCAGCTGGATAGCGGGGCCTGGAGACAGACACTCGCGTTCAAACTCAGTTCCCAGGACGATGTCGAAAGACGCTTTAACAGGGTTGTCCCAAGCGAGACCGGGGCTCTTACTTGTCGGTCTTCCCATAGTCATCCTCCTTCTCCAGGTACTCGTTGCTGTCCTCATCCTGGATGATCTCCACCTCCAGGCGCCCGATGTAGAGGCAGATGGCGCAGAGCCAGAAGAGTGCTACCAGGGTGACTGTCGCGCCATTGAAGAGGGCCACGGAGAACGAGAGCATCATGGTGCGGCGCAGAAGGACGAGGCTGGACAGGTAGGACAAGCTGCCGTAGGACACGCAGATTCCCCCCAGGATGAAGAAACCTAGGGGAAAAGCAGAGTGGAGTGCAATTGGTTCACAGGGACGTGGATGGATTAGGCCACTGGTGCTCAGGCCCTGGTTTGTCAAGCTGCGTCATCCATTAACTGCTGCTCTCCCTGCTGCCAAACTTCCATACCTGAGAGGAAGCCTGAAGGGTGGAGGAAGGGGCTTTGCATACTATGTTGCGCAGGTGTGTGGTGAGGCCAGCACATGGGCTCCATCCATCAGTGCCTGGGTGGATCTGGGTGTGCAGGGTTGGGTGGCATGTGGCCAGATCAAGGCACGCGGGGTCAGCCAGCACGTGGTGGATCCAGACACGTGGCCACATCATAGACCAACCCTAGAACTTCCTAGACCTTCAAGGCTGGAGGCTGCAAGTGAAAGCGGAACAGGGAAAAGCCCTGCTCAGACCCCGCTCACTCTCCTTTCCAGCCTCTGCGTGACACGGGAGACTGGGCAAGGCGGACCTAGGGTCTGACGCAGGAAACGGCAGTTCTTATGTTCTTAATACTGCGCCACTCATCCAGCTCACAGCACAAGCGCTCATGTCCCGGCCCTGTCACATTCCAGCAAATCTGCTAAATACCTTGTCAACACAATCTCACACACTGAAAAAACACTGAATTCATGACAAGGACATAAGAAAAAGAAGATCCAGCTCATAGGGCTGGAAGATTCGTAGGAGTGTTGCATGAGTAAGAG